TGCCTATTAGGGCTTTCTGCTCTTTAAGAAATCAAAATATTGAGTCATTGGGAAAGTCATGATGTATTTTCCAATGTTTTCTATGCAAAAATGCATCATGACTTTTCTGATGACCCAACAAAAAAATGTGTTAAGCTAAGTCTGAATAATGGGGTATATTTCAACTGGTTAACAGCAGAGAACCAAAAAGCATAAATTTAAAAGAAGCACTTAAAGTTTTATTGGTGGTTTATTTTGGTAAAGAACTAAACTAAGTATTAAACATTCCTTTCTCTTCTTTTTAAGAATTATTTATTTATTTAATTCCATTTGTTATTACTATTATTTTTTTTTTGAGAGGTTTTCGCTCTAGGGCGCGTGCACTCGCCAGACAGAGAGAGACATAGAGACAGAAAGCGAGAAAACACCCCTCAGGGGGATGGTCACGCCGCAATCCCTTCTCCTCCATTCCCCTGTCGGGATCTTGGGCACACACGCACGCACACGCACCCGGCGTGAGTTTTAAGCCACCGGGTCTGTCTGGGACACAAACCGCAGCCGACTACGTGGGAGTTCAGTGACGTAATCATTTCCTAAACACTCCTTTCTACTGAATATACATCTCCTGTTTTTAAAACCTAGGAACTAATAAATGTACAATTACAGTAGGTATCATAATCATAGGGCAAAGAGTTCAGACAAAACAGAGAAATTTAAAAGTATATCATAAAAAATAACAGACCATGAAGCACTGGGATAACTGACAACTGAAATATTGGGTCGTCAGGAAAGTCATGATGTATTTTTTACAAAAAAAAATTAAAGGGAACCAGCAGTTAGCATAATGGCTATGTCGCTGGATTCCCACGTAGTCGACCATGGTTCGCGTCCCGGACCCAGTGGCTTAAAACTCACGCCGGGCACGTGTGCATGCGTGCCCAAGATCCCGAGAGGAGAATGGAGGAGAAGGGATTGTGGCGTGACTCTCCCCCCCAGTGGGTGATTTCTCAGTTTCTGTCTCTATGTCTCTGTCTGTCTGGCGAGTGCACATGCCCTATAGTGAAAAAAAACCTCTAAAAAAAAAAGTTAAAAATACATCACGACTTTTCCGACAACCTAATAGTTACAAACAATATAAATTTTTTTTAAAAATGCTAGAGTATGTTTCATGAATCTAACTCACCTTTATAAGAATTAAGAAATGAAAAACAAAATTCTAGAGATTTCTAGAAATCTAACGGAAAAAAAAAATATATTAGTAAGAATGGCAAGAAAGATGGCCTTAACTACAGGCTAAAGAAGGTAGGTATAAGTTTTGAAAGAGTCAAGACCACCATAACATTTTCCTCATACACCATGCCATCACCTAACTGATCAAAATAATCATCTCTAATCTGTACATATTAAATACGCTCCTTGTTTCAATACTATTGATACTTCTAATTCTCCAAAAGAGTCTCTTTACAGAACAATTGCAGTACTTTCTCATTTTTATTCCTTAAAGTTTCATCTATCTCCTTTGATTAAATAAGAAGAATGGAAAAGTAATTTTCCCCAATTATTTATTTATTTGTTTGTTTGTTTGTTTATTTTTGCTAAAGGGCACATGCACTTGCCGAAGAGAGAGAGAGAAACAAAGAAAAAGGGAAAGTGAAAAATTATCCTCCACGGGAAAGGCTATGCCTCAATCCCTTCTTCTACATTCTTCTCTCAGGATTTTGTGCATGCACACACACACGCCTGTATGTTTTTCAAGCTACTGCCAAGGACTCAAACCATGCAGTTGGTCATGTGGAATCCATTCCTTAACTGAGACACCACTGGCTGGTCTTTGAAAACTAATTTTGAAAACAAATTTGATATACACTAAAACTGAAAAGTTCACAGTGGGTTGCACATCGTTTAGCTCTGACTCAAGAATAAAAGAGAAAAGGTAGAAATCCATACCATATGAAAGAAAAACCGTGAGAAGCTTCAATGACAAATGTTTGGTTCAGACACAGCAAACAATAAAAATTTAAAGTAAAAGGCTATTTTAATATAAGAAAAAATAGTTCAGTTTTTACATTACCATCAAGAAGCAAACTTAACAGTTTAGAAATAGCCAATTAAAACTACCCATGAGCGCATACACTAGACACAGCTGCTTGGCAGGTTAACGTTAAATGGGAATTCCATGTTGGCCCACCCTAAAAAAAAGGCAGGCATAGTAATAAAAAACAAAGACTCTGACATCTAATATAAAGTGGATGAATTTGGAAGATCTAATACTAAGCAAAGCAAGCCAGACTATGAAAGACAAGCATTGTATGTCTCCACTCAAATATACCAAATGTCTGTGCTCTATAGCAGAAATTTAAAGATGAGAAGATATAATAGAAGGGAGGGCAATGGTACATACTAAAGACAGTGTGGGAAAAGTAAAAGGAGGTGGGTATAGGGGGTAGGAGGGAAGGGATCACAGAGAAAACAACACATTTAATAGACACAAAAATGAAAAGTTAGCTGCTGATAACCTATATGATAATGTCTTTGACTTAACTAATACGCACCGTATTCATGCTGGGAAGAACCATGTTGTACAGTATTATAAAGTTGTACAGTGATTAAATGTAAATTAAAAATTAATTAATTTAAAGAAGACTTAGATGGGCAGTGATGGTATTTGTGGTATTTGCTTTAATGCATGCATGTGATAATTTTGTTGTGTTCATAATCCTAAAAAAAAAGGGCAGACATGGTGGTAACTGTGTCTATAGTTATAGATAATTAAGAAGCTGAGGCAGGAGGGTTAATTAGAACCTGTCTAAACTACACCACACATATTCACACACAAAAAAATACAAACAAAAGAAAAAGACAGTTAATTATGGTACTTAAGATTATAATAAAAAGCAGCTTTGATATAACCAAATGAAAGCTATTCAAGAAAAGAAAGCTGAAGCTTAAAAATATAAGTTTAAAAAAAATACAGAAAATGAATACAGATCAGTGAGCATAAAACTATAAAAGGGTAGCAACCTTTGTGGTGACGAAACAGTACACCTCTTATGAAAATCTGTAAGGTCTATAAACAACTTAATAGAACTATACCAATAGTTTTGAAACTATATTAATTATAACTATTGATTATTAAAAATTACCATATGCCAAGTAATGGAGCACTCAAGACAAAGAAATAAAACTTGCCTGAATAAAAAATGAATTCAAGAGGAAATGAAAAGATGTTTAAGTAAAAACTATAATGTAAAGGCCAGATGGAGGTGCAGCAATAACATGCAATGCCTGCCAGGCACACCCACATGTGATGGTTCCTAGTTCAGATGTGGAGATGTTCCTGAGTAGCTCAGGCATACCTGTGCCCATGATCTGGGCTGGCATAAACTGAGGATGGGAGCATTGTGACACTGTAGAGGGTGCTGTATCTCTGTGTCTCTTTCTCAGTCATGGAATAAATTTTTAAAATATAAAAAAATGATAAAAACAAAACTATATTCAATATGTAAGTGCAATATTAAAAATATAGATAATAAAGAAACAGTAGGGACCAGCAGGTGGCATAGTAGTTAAGGTGCTGGACTCCCACGTGGCCGACTACAGTTCAAGTCTCAGATTCAACTGCTTGGAACTCAGGCCAGGCACTTGTGCATGCATACCAAAAATCTCAAGAGGAGACTGGAGGAGAAGGATGTGGCAAGGCTACTCTCCCAGGGGGTGATTTTTCGCCTTCTGTCTCTGTGTCACCAGCGAGCACATACACCCTTTAACAAGAATCCCTCTCAAAAAAAAAATAATAATGATAATAAAGGACTAACAGTGGAATATTGAAATATTTTAAGAAAAGGGCCAGCAGGTGGCATGGGGGTTAAGGCACTGAATTTCCACATGGCCAACCAGGATTCCAGTCCCAGACTCAGCGGCTTGACAATCACTCTGGGTGCGTATGTGAATGTGTCCAAAATCCCAAAAGGAGAATGAAGGAGAAGGAATTTTGGTGTGGCCATTCCCTTGGGGAAGTGATTTCTCTCACTTTTATTTCTCTCACTTTCACTCTCTCTCTCTGATGAGTGCATGTGCCCTATGTCAAAACCTAAAAAAGGGACCAGCTGATGACATAAAATTTATGTCGTTGGACTCCTCAATGGACAAACATGGCTCGAGTCCTGACCTGGCAGCTTGAAACTCATGCCGGATACCTGTGCAAGTGTGCCCCAAATCCCAAGAGGAGAATGGAAAACGGATTGTGGCATAGGTATCCCCCTGAGGGGTGATTTCTCATTTTCAGTTTCTCTGTCTCTCTAGTGAGTGCATGGGCCCTATAGCAAAAATCTCTCTTTAAATAAACAAAGCAAAACAAAACAAACCTAAAAAACAAAACCTTTGGAAAGATAGTAAGAGTCTAGACAAGGACACTGGCAAGAATATAAAAAGAAAAAATGAATAAAGATAAATCTCAAAGACATAATTTAAAGATGAATAGAACATGTAGTCTCATGAATGCCATAACCAAAAACAGATTAATATAAACGAAGACACATGGGAATAGTCAGTGAGGATTAGAGAAAAGTTAATTCTATAGTTATAGCTTTAAAAGTAATATAAAGGGGCCAGCAGGTGGTATAGTGGTTAAGTCGCTGGATTCCCATGTGGTCAACATGGTTCTAGTCCCAGACCCAGCAGCTTGCAACACACTGGACACATGTGTGTTTGTGTCCAAAATCCCGAGAATGAAGGAGAAGGGACTGTGGCATGGCCACCTTGTGTGCGTGTGCATGTGCGTGTGCATGTGGGGATGATTTCGCTCTTTCTTTCTCTCTGTCTCTCTGAGAAACACACACCATACACATCCTACAGCAAAAATCTCTCAAAGAAAATAAAAAGTAATAAAAAGAGTACATATCATGAAAGCAAATTTCAGACTTGATAAAGTCTTAGTAAAGGAAGAGTTTCTTCCTAGCTCAGTATTTCTCAAGATTACTTCTGAAAACTAAATATTAATTATGCAAAACAGAAATTCTTACTTCTTGTCTTTTCTTAAGATCTTCTTTGGCTGCTCCAAAGCGTTTGGTTAACCTTGCTATCTTGGCCTGAATTTAAAAAAAAAAAAAAAAGGAAATCAAGTGTTATTATAACATCAAAAAAGAATTCACACATATATAAAAATAAACCTACAGATAACAGGATCTCTATGAGATAGCTAAAAGCAAAGAAAATAAAACAAGTTGATTGGGTGTTTGTTCATATGCCAGTATGTTTCTGAATAAGTATGCTTGTTTTCTGTGTTATTTTCTAACAGTTGTAACCACACTTAATCATCATAGTGAGAATTATGTAAGTCAAAAAAGAATCCTTGTCAATCACTTAAGAATGTACATAGAGTACACTGGACCATTTTTCTGTAACATGTTTTCCAGAGGCATCTGCAGTCTCCAGAAATGCAGAAATACGGAGGGGGGAGGATATTATGAACACATTCCCCTCAATGGGGCATGGTTGGTCACAACACAATTCATTCTCTTCCATTTCTTCTTTCTTTCAGGATATGGTACAAGTTCACACATGTGCCTGAAATGTTTTTCAAGCTGCCAGTGTGAACTGTGCTGATGGCCACATGATTCTCTTAAAAACTAGGCCAGAGGGATGACACCTGAATCATTATTCAAACACTCCCCTATTTTTTGCTATAGGGTGCATGTGCTTGCCAGAGAGAAAGAAAGCGATAAATCACACCCCGGGAGGATAGCCACACCACAATCCTGTCTCTTCCACTCTCCTTTCAGGATTTTGGGCAAGCACGTGCCCAGCCTGAGTTTTCAGCCACTGGGTCCGGGACTCAAACCACGGTTGACCATGTGGAGTCCCTGCAACATAACCATTAATGCCATTTGCTGGTCCCCACCACTCACTTTTCTACTAGGTAGGTTTAATGTTTCTCAATGCCCTGCTACGGTCCAAAACCACTACAATGGTTGGGGGCAACAGGTAGCCTGATGGTGGGGGTGCTAGACTCTTCCACGTAGCCAAGAGCAGTTCAAGTTCTCGACCTGGTGGCTTTCCTTTTTTCTCTCTTTCTGTCCCTCTCAGGTCAAATTAAAAAAATAATGATAACAAATAAAATTAAATGAATAAAATAAATATTATTTCCCAGATCATTTCCTTGGAGTACATACTGAGGTGAAATTCCTGAGGCAAAATATATGTCTAAGATCCTTGCCTAAATGCTTTTCAGAAAGGCTTAATTGATACTATCAATAACAGTGTACATAGTGCTCAAATACTACTCTCTTACTTACTTTCACATTCTGTTATTGTTTTCTTCTTTCTCTCTCTCTCTCTCTTTTTTTTTCTTTTTTTGGAGAGATTTTTGCCATAGGGTGCATGCACTCGCCAGAAAGACAGAGAGACAGAAAGCGAGAAATCACCCTTCGGGAGGATGGCCATGCCACAATCTCTTCTCCTCCATTCTCCTCTCAGGATCCTGGGTATGCACACACACGCGCCCGGCATGAGTTTAAGCCACCAGGTCTGGGACTCGAACCACGGTCAGCTACATGGAAGTCCAGCAACATAGCCATTATGCTAACTGCTGGTCCCATAGTCTAATAAAAATTACTTTTTAGATTAATACTTGTCAATAAAATTAATAAATTTCATTTAAATGTACATAAACTATCTGATCACATTATTTTCCCAAAAACATATTCAAAGAAAATCTGAGGAAAAGTGGAGTAAGAAGGAAAAAGGGGACTAGCAACATTCAGTAGTTAAGATTCTGGACTCCCACATGGCCAACCAAAGTTTGAGTCCAGACTCAGCGGCTTAAAACTCGCCAGCACATGTGCATGCATGACCAAAATCCCAAGAGAAGAATGGAGAAAAGACTGTAGAGAGGCCATCTCCCCAGGGAGTGATTTATTGCTTTTTGTCTCTTTCTCTGGTAAGCACATGGGCCCTAAATGCCCGCCCTCACAAAAAAAAAAAAAAAAAAAAAAAAAAAATGAGGAAAAGAATATCACATCACCACATAAATATTTGGTTATATTCCCTTTCAGTTTTTCACTAAAGCACAGATGCAAAATTAAACTGTTTCTGTGATTATTGCTAATACTGTTGCTATTTTACATGAAATATATTTTCAAGAATATTAAACTTCTATGGGTAGTCATGAGTCCTGACCATAACAAAAAAAAAAAAAAAATCCAGCAGAAAATTTCTTTTTTCTTTTTAATTTCAGTTTTTGCTATTGGACATATATGCTTGCTTAAGAGAGAAACAAGAATGGAGGAAGAATGGAGAGAATGGCCATGCCACAATCCCTTTTCCTCCCCTCTACTCTCAAGATTTTGGGCTGGCACAAACATATGCCTGGCTTATTTGGAGTCACTAGGTCAGTACTCAAACTGCAGAGTTGTCATCGTGCAATCTGGCCACCTTACCCTCGATGCCATCCGGTGGCCCCAGAGAGTTCTTTTACCCAATATAAGGGCCTTCATATTATAAAAATGAGAAAATACTTATTTTAAAGTTTCTTTAAGAAGGTTTTCAAAGGAGATCCCAAATCTTGCAAAGTATTTTAATCTATTCATATGGCCTAGGCAATCAATCACCTACAGCTGTCAAAGGTAAAGATTTTCTTCAGAATTTGATTATTTATATATAATATTAAGATCCAAGGACATACAGCATAATTTCACATCCTTAAAATGGATTTGCCTTTCTTATGACTAAAGTATTTTAAGTAACTTTTTCTAGAACGGTATGTGGAAATGTATTTTTCTCTATAAACCAATTTATGCAAAAATGTCTTTCATTTTCTCATTAGTCAGATTATGTGGGCTGGTAATATACAATATACATGCACAGTATGTAGAGTATCACTATTCTAATTTTACTTGCAAATGAGACCCTCCCAAAAAAATCATTTTGTATATATTATGAGAAAAGGTTTAGAAGAACACATACCAAGTTAAAAACAGCTGCCTATGGAGTCCAGGATTGGCAGGAAATGAGGAAGATGATAAAGGACTTCCCTTTAACATCATCTATATATGCAGTACTCAAATTCTCTTTAAAAAATAAATATCATGGAGGCCATCAGGTGGTGTAGTGGTTAGGGTGCTAGATCACACATGTCTAACTCTGCAGTTCAAGTCCCAGACCTCGTAGCTTGAAAAACATGCTGGACACTTGTGTGTATATGTCAACTTCTTTGGGTTTCTCACTTTCCCTTCTCTTTGTCTGTTTTTCTCTGGCAAGTGCACGTTCTATGGCAAAAAAAAAAAAAATCTAAAAAATAATTATTATTATCATTTAAAAAATTAAACCAGGGGACCAGCAGTTAGCGTAATGGCTATGTCGCTGGACTCCCACGTAGTCAACCGCAGTTCGCGTCCCGGACCCGGTGGCTTAAAACTCACACTGGGCATGTGTGTGTGCATGCCCAAGATCCTGAGAGAAGAATGGAGGAGAGGGGATTGCGGCGTGGCCATCCCCCCTGGGGGTGATTTCTCATTTTCTGTCTCTCTGTCTCTCTCTGTCTGTCTGGTGAGCGCACGTGCCCTATAGCAAAACCCTCTAAAAAAAAAAAAAATTAAACCAGTAGAAAACAAATCGAAATGTAACTTACTATCTTCTGACATTTAATATTGTAACAAAGAAATCAATAAACAATACTTTTTTGTTACTCTTACATAGGAAATTGTGTATTTTTTATTATTATTATAAGTAAAAATATCTATAATAGTATGTCTAAGAGTGGATCCCACATGGCTGGGCTGAGTGGTTTGAATCCCAGACCTGGTAGCTTGACAATCACGATGGGAGTATGTGCATGTATGCCCAAAAGCCAGAAGAAAATGGAGAAGAAGGGACTGTGGCGTGGCCATCCCCTCTAGGAAGCAATTTCTCATTTTCCCTTTCCCTATCTCTCTCTATCCATCAAACATACATGGCCCATAACAAAACTACCAGACAAAAAAAATCCATTTACTTATGACAGAATGAATGTAGTAATTAATCTTTCCCAGTGTCTTTTTTGGAATAAAGTAGATTACTACAGTATGCTCACTTCAGCTGACCAGAAGCTCTGGCACTACATGTCAATATACCTACATTTAATAAAAAATGAAAAGTAGTAATTATTAATAAACATAAATTAATAAATCAACACCTTTCAAACATAACCTACAGATGGCAACAGATTAATTAAAAAACAAAAAGACTCTCTCACAAGTATCATCTAGTACTTACTATGGGAAGTGAGATGCCAGCCTTTCTTCAGTCACTATAAATTTTTTTTTTAAATTACAATAATAGGCCCAAAGATAATTTCTTAGTCCGTTATGAGTTTAATTGTATCCCCTTAAGTTTGTATAGTAAAGTCTAATCCTCCAAACATACATCAGAATGTGACCTCATTTCAAAATAGGGTCATTACAGAGGGAATTAGTTAAAACAAGGTCATACCAGAATAGGATACCACCAATATGAATGGTGCCCTTGTTAAAAGGGGAAAATTGAGGTCAGTGGGTGGAGTGGGTGCTGGATTCCCACTTGGCTAACTGGTTCAAGTCCTGGACCCAGTGGCTTGAGGGTCATGCCAGGCCTGTGTGCATACGTGCCCAGAATCCCAAAGGGAGAATGGAGAATAACAGTGTGTGTTGTGGCCATCCCCTAGAGGGGTGATTTTTCACTTTCCTTCTCTTTGTCTTTCTCTGGCAAGCACATGTTCTCCACGGCAAAACTTAAAAAAGAGGTGGGGAATATTTGGACAAAGACATACACATAGGGACACCACCATGTGAAGATAAAGCCAGAGATCTCAGTCATGCTTCTACAAGGCAAGAAACACTAAAGATTGTCAGCAAAAAGGGAAAAGCATAGAATGGATTCTTCCTCAGAGCACACCCTTCAGGAAAAAAAAAAAAAACCTACTGATGTCTCAATCTTGGACTCCAGCCTGAAGAAAACTCTGAGACAATACATTTCTGTTGTTTAAGTCACCCAGTTTATAATACTTTTTCTAGGCTGGACATAGCAAACTAATACAAGCTCTTCTTACTGCTTATATTTAGAATTTAAATGTAATTTATAGTCAATTTTAAGTATTTATCCCAGAAAATAAGTTAGAAATATGATGAAATCTTGAGTATAAAATTCCAACCAGTATACAAACCTGTAGTTCAGTAAGAACTGTTTTATGCCTCTTGTTACATTCGATCTTTTCCACGCGTGTTTTTAATTCTGCCAAAGTCTTATCAAATACAGCACACTGTAGAGCACATAATTTTTCTTCCAGCAACCACTGTATAACCTAAATAAAGATATATTCATTTGTTATGCAAGCAAGGCATTTCAGCAAGAAGCAAATAGTAAATATTCTTAAGTACTAACAAGATAATATTGTGTTGTCAGAAAAGTCATAACACATTTTGCATAGAAAAAATATATCATGACTTTTCCGACAACTCAGTAATAATGTGTTAACTAATTTATGTATTAACTAATTTAATAAATAGAATATGCTGGAGGCCAAGCCTCTTGGCACAGCTAATCACAAATTGAATGGCAGTTTTGGAAGTTACACAGATGATCACAGCTTTAGATTCTCCTGGTCAGGGTGAAAACATCATAAATGCATGTGAGCATGCCCAAGATTCCGACAAGCTCAAGGAATGACGAAAGATTCTCCATCGTGTGGCATAACGAGACCCTGTTGAGGATGCTTCTTTTTCTTTTTTTCTCTAGTACATACATACATGTTTTATATCATGAATAAAATAAACTTTAAAAATGCTGGAATCTAACACAAAGCTATCTGCTAAAATTTCCCCTTCTACATACATCTATATGCTAAAAATAAAATTTTCCAGGGTGAGTTTTGAAAATAATGAAGTTCTAATATATTCTTCATTATCCCCTACCCATCATGTTCAAACCACTTAAAGGAAACCAGTTTGAGTAAAAGGCCATTTACTAATCCTTTGCAGATAGATACATTCATTATATGCACATATTTTTGTTACTAACGATGATAATACCATCTCAAATTTCTATAAAACATTTTTAATGCCTGGTAAAAATTTCCATATTACCTTATCATGAATTTGTCCATGAACTACATTTAAGTAACACCATTCTAGAGAAGTAAACTCTCAGTACATGTAAAGTTTTCAAAACTTTTTCACATAGCTTCATATTTTAAAAATCCCTATCCCTTAATCCTCTAAAGCCCTCCCACTACAATTTTTAATGCTAACCATAAAGTACATAATGAAAGTTTTAGAATATACAGACTTATAACCATGAAATCAAGTTTTTATAAAGATTAAAATGCAATCCCAAATGAGAAGGTTCTCAGTTCAAATCTGGAGATCTCTCTGAGTGCCCAAGAAATAGGGTTGGCAGAAACTGGAAGGGTGGACTTACGCATTAAGGTTCTTGTTGAGAAACCACCACCCCCCGGGTTTTAGAATATTTGCACAAATATAATGAGATATTCTGAGAATAAGCTCCAAATATCTAAACATAAAATCACATATATGTTTCATATATACTTTATGCACATAACCTGAAGGTGATTTTATATAATATTTTAAATGATTGCGTACATGAAATAAAGTGTGTGTTCACTGATCTGTCAGAATATATTATGTCTATCACCCATGTGGACTATCTGTGGTTGTTTGGTACTGTCCTCATTCCTAATAAGCTATTGTTTTCAAACATTCATTCACACAGAAATACTTTACAGTTAAAAAAATAAATGAAGTGAAAAAATAATATGTTCAAGGTAACTAAGAAGTACAGCAACATCACCAGAATACCTGTATCACTTGATAAATAACAGTAACAACAAAGACAGACAGGTTTTCAGTCTCTATCTAATGATGCTGTGTTTTAACTAAAAGGTTAATGTACATTCTATGTTTATTTCAGTGAAAATAAATCCCAAAATCAGTCCAAGGAGCAAGAAGTAGGTCCTCCAGGGATGGGGAGTCATTTTAAAATGTTTCCTCCAGAGGCATCTGTATCACTAAGCATAACTTCTTAGAAGTCTTTGATTTTCAAATCATTTCTTAATCTGTTTGAATGCACACTGCATGGCCAGCAGATGGCATAGCAGTTACATCACTAGACTCCCACATGGCTGACAGTAATTCAAGTCCTGGAACCAGTGGCTTGAAAGTCCCAACAGGCACATGTGCATAAGATCTCAGGAGGAAAAGGACTACAACAAGGCCATCCCGCTCTAGAGGGTAATTTCTCACTTTCCTTCTCACTGTTTCTGTCTGTCTGTCTCTCTGGTGAGTGCACACACCCTAAGGCACTCTAAAAAATATAATAAAATAAAAAAAGAATGAACACTGCTCTAGCCCTTCAAGACCACTGCGTATTTTCATATCAAGTCCAGTGCTTATTTTCAAGACATGTATAGGCACCTTTTCTGCAACGTTATCATCTTCATCTTCACTCTTGTCTACAATAACCTTGAATCAGAACCATTTTGGCTATGTCATCATTGGCCATGGAATGAACAAACGGAGCCTATCAAAGTTAATTTCTTTAATATCTGCTTCTGGCTCGCTGACTGTGAAGGCATATTTTCTGCATATGTAAAGATATCAGACATTTTTTCCTCACTTGACAAAGGAAGGCTTCAAAGTCACCACCTTGTGCATCATCATTACTGAACAGTCGCAGGCCACAGCATGTGCCAGGCATGCACAACTCTGTCTTCAGTCACACTGTTCCAAGCACTGACAACAGTCTACCCTTCATGTTAAACTCTTTTTGAAAACCCTTCACACACATACCTCTACTCATTGCTACTAGCATGATGTCTACAAGTGCTTTTATATTTATTATTCTTTTATCTAAAATACCCTGGTTAAAAGTATATGGCATATACATTATTCTTTTATGAGAATTTCAGCTGGAGGATGAGCAGATCTGTAACCAAGGAGTAACAAAATGTGCAATCATTATCTAGTCTAGCTTCCCTGTGGTAAGCACAAGCCCCTGATAAGAAAACCTACTGATCCAAGTTTGTTTATTTTTAGAATATTTGCACAAATATAATGAGATATTCTGAGAATAAGCTCCAAATATCTAAACATAAAATCACATATCTGTTTCATATATACTTTATGCACATAACCTGAAGGTGATTTTATATAATATTTTAAATGATTGCGTACATGAAATAAAGTGTGTGTTCACTGATCTGTCAGAATATATTATGTCTATCACCCATGTGGACTATCTGTGGTTGTTTGGTACTGTCCTCATTCCTAATAAGCTATTGTTTTCAAACATTCATTCACACAGAAATACTTTACAGTTAAAAAAATAAATGAAGTGAAAAAATAATATGTTCAAGGTAACTAAGAAGTACAGCAACATCACCAGAATACCTGTATCACTTGATAAATAACAGTAACAACAAAGACAGACAGGTTTTCAGTCTCTATCTAATGATGCTGTGTTTTAACTAAAAGGTTAATGTACATTCTATGTTTATTTCAGTGAAAATAAATCCCAAAATCAGTCCAAGGAGCAAGAAGTAGGTCCTCCAGGGATGGGGAGTCATTTTAAAATGTTTCCTCCAGAGGCATCTGTATCACTAAGCATAACTTCTTAGAAGTCTTTGATTTTCAAATCATTTCTTAATCTGTTTGAATGCACACTGCATGGCCAGCAGATGGCATAGCAGTTACATCACTAGACTCCCACATGGCTGACAGTAATTCAAGTCCTGGAACCAGTGGCTTGAAAGTCCCAACAGGCACATGTGCATAAGATCTCAGGAGGAAAAGGACTACAACAAGGCCATCCCGCTCTAGAGGGTAATTTCTCACTTTCCTTCTCACTGTTTCTGTCTGTCTGTCTCTCTGGTGAGTGCACACACCCTAAGGCACTCTAAAAAATATAATAAAATAAAAAAAGAATGAACACTGCTCTAGCCCTTCAAGACCACTGCGTATTTTCATATCAAGTCCAGTGCTTATTTTCAAGACATGTATAGGCACCTTTTCTGCAACGTTATCATCTTCATCTTCACTCTTGTCTACAATAACCTTGAATCAGAACCATTTTGGCTATGTCATCATTGGCCATGGAATGAACAAACGGAGCCTATCAAAGTTAATTTCTTTAATATCTGCTTCTGGCTCGCTGACTGTGAAGGCATATTTTCTGCATATGTAAAGATATCAGACATTTTTTCCTCACTTGACAAAGGAAGGCTTCAAAGTCACCACCTTGTGCATCATCATTACTGAACAGTCGCAGGCCACAGCATGTGCCAGGCATGCACAACTCTGTCTTCAGTCACACTGTTCCAAGCACTGACAACAGTCTACCCTTCATGTTAAACTCTTTTTGAAAACCCTTCACACACATACCTCTACTCATTGCTACTAGCATGATGTCTACAAGTGCTTTTATATTTATTATTCTTTTATCTAAAATACCCTGGTTAAAAGTATATGGCATATACATTATTCTTTTATGAGAATTTCAGCTGGAGGATGAGCAGATCTGTAACCAAGGAGTAACAAAATGTGCAATCATTATCTAGTCTAGCTTCCCTGTGGTAAGCACAAGCCCCTGATAAGAAAACCTACTGATCCAAGTTTGTTTATTAGCATAATAATGAACTGGTAAAGAAATTTGCTTCTTTAAAACAATGAGGCAGCAAGCTTTGGCCCATCAAAAGTTTACACTTATGTGTGCCTGCTTCATTAGCACATTACAGCCCAGTTATTCAGTCTTAGGCATCCTTAATTCCTCTAGGAGCTATTCCATCTCTGAAGTCAGCTGTCTTCCCAGAGCAGTAACACCAAAACGACGATGGGTTCATCAGCATTGTAGACTGTTCTAGCACCAGATTTTCAACAGCAATGACCTTGGCAAACTCATTAATTTCTCCACTGTGTCAATAACCTAGAAGAATAAAGACAATGGTGCTTTCTATTCAATGTTTTTAACTTAAAGTCTATAATACCTTTTGAAGCTTCTGGTTGATGTCTCCTTTGGCTGTAATCTTTACTTGAAATTCTGCCTCGTATTCTTCTTCCATGTAGCGACGACGTTTGGAATGTACATTGTCTATGTCCTCTGATTTTGAACGTTTTCTTCTAGAAAATTCATCTGAGAACAAACATAATTACTAGTCATATGTTCTTACAGCCCTCAATATTTACTCTCCATCCTTAGCAAAATATTGTTTCTACCATAACAGTATTTTCAACCAATTATGTTATGAATTGTTTTTGAGATCACTAAAACAGGCATACAGCTTTAAGCTTTAAATCTGAAATTCTTTTCAATATGCTAAATAAGAACTTCTTAATGGCTAAGTAATGAACACTGTGAACATATTCTTTCTTTGAACTCTTCACATTAAGGAGATTGCCTAACAACTATGTCATGAAGGAGGTAGAAGAAATCATCTCATACTCCTTCTCTTTGCTACACTTCATAATAAACATGAATTCCCTGACGAAATACAGTATTCTCACGTCACAAATTTCTCACTGGGAATACCTTTAACATTTAACTATTTTCCTACAGTAAATCTAGAAAAAGTTCTTGTTTAATCATCCACTTTAGGAAAATAGTATATATTATAGTTATTCACAATATATCCTAATGAATTTCAAATATATGAAAAAAATAAAATTGGGTCAGTGTCATGGTATGGTGTTGGGGAAGACAAATGGATCCTACATAGCTGCAAGTGTGGATCAAGTCTCGACCCAGTGGCTTGAAAAACACAACAGGCATCGTGTGTAGAGAAATGGAGAAGGGATATGGTGTGACCATTCCCCAAGGGATGAGGGGTTTTCTCACTTTCCCTCTCTGTCTCCATCTCTCTCCTTGAGGGTACACGCTCTCTGACAAAATAATAGAATTAATGTTGTTAGGGAAGTTCATTTGATAAAGAACAGATGAAGACAACAGTTAGAAAATTATCCTTTCAAATACTGTTAATATTCATGAGATCAAACACAAATTTATCTGGTTTCATTTTCAATATCTAAAAAAATTAAATACTAAAATTTCTGCTTTTTAAAGAAAATGCCCTTATGTCACTATACCTATCCTATCCTTTTTCTGTCTAACTCTGTATCTGTATCTATGTGCCTATGTTGAAAATCTAATTCAACTCTACAACTTCTCTTGTAATAACTTACCCATAGTCATACACAGAGAACAGCATGACAGTTCCAGAACTCAGGTTTCCTGACTTACAATATGGTGATCTTTCTATGAACCTAATGACACTCAGGACCTTATGTAGATTGAAACACTTACTTCTATTCACTTATAACAGCCCATATAAAATTCTCATAGTCCTATTCCCTAAGCATAAATCTAAAACAATTTCTAAAAGAGAGATAATACCTCCAAATTTTTTAAGCCTAAATCTTTCTTATGGAACAATGAAAAATCAAAATTAAAAAATTAAAGTACATGAAATAATACTTCCAAAGATCCTTGAGTTAGCAATCAACAAAATTATTTAACTGTGTCTTCCTTAAAACTGTGAATATTTACAATGGGTAGTAAAGGATATTCCATAGCTTTACAGGCAGAAATAGTATTTTTCAAAGTAGTTCAAGTTAGTTTGTACTTGCATACTTTTCTCAGAAGGTCTTTCATCTTCTTCATGTATTACTTGCTCTTCCTCAGGTTTGCTGTCCTTTTCATTTCTATCTCCTTCTGCAAAAATAGAAAAACTTCCATTGGATTCATAACCACACACTTATTTACATTTTTGGTAACTACCCAGTTACCAAACTAACCTTTTATGTAATCGGAGTCACAAAACATGAAATTCTAGAAATAAAAAGGAAGAATTAACTGGTAGAATTGAATAACCAGTACACTTTCTACTCTTCTCCAATTCACAATAAACTGAACATGAGGGTCGGGGGAGAACTAGCAGCACAAATTTTAAAACTAAGTAATTTCTTTCATTAGAAAGACCAATAAAATGTGAAAACAATTGCTGTAAAGCATTTAGATGCCTTTACACTCAATTAAACTAAACTTGGGGGACCTGCAGATGGCTTAATGGTTATGTGGCTGGACTCCCACGTAGTTGACCACAGTCTCAGTCCCAGACCTAATAGCTTCAAACTCACACCTGGCACGTATGTATGTCTGCCCAAGATCCCGAGAAAAGAATGGAGAAGGGACAATGGCATGGTCATCCCTCTCGGGGGTCATTTCTTGCTTTTTGTCTGTCTCTCTGATGAACACATGCACCCTATAGTAAAAATCTCTCTTAAAAAAAAAAAAAAAACTAAAAACTTTGAGAGGACATTAAAAGTTCGTGGAAAAATCTAATTGAAGTACAAGTTTATTTTGGTGCAGAAACTTTTAAAATCCTGGCCAGCTGGTAGTGACATATTGATTAAGACAGCTGGATCCTACATATTAGCACAGTTTGAGTTCTGGACTTAGTAGTGTGAAAACCATACCAGGCCCTTGTGTGCACATATTTAAAATCTCAAAGGGAGGGAAAGACGGAAGAAGGATTACAGACCATCCTCCAGGAAGGGAGATACTTCCTCATTTCTCCTTTTCTCTCTGTCTCTCTCCAAAACGCACATATACCCTCTGGCAACTATTTTTTGAAAATCCATGTATCTTTTTTTTTTTCTTTCATAATATACTTTCCATGAACTTTGTGAAGACCCTACAGAGTAACAATGACATTACCAAAAAATTACAAGCTACTGATAAATTCAAAATACCTCTGACCTGACCAGTTGAACCATTAAGTTATGTTAATGGTTATGGGGCAGTTCACAAATGAGGAATAAAAAAGCTACCCTAAATACAATGAAAACTTTACATTTAAAAAATGTGTACTTTGATACCAGTCCCAATAACTGAGCTAGGTACTTCATAGCCTTAAATATAATGCTCCACTGCCATAATATTTTTTGCCCTCAAATAGATGAGAACAGCTAACATTTACTGAGTCTCTGGAAAAGTCATGATGCCCTTTTTTTTTTTTGAGAGGTTTTTGCTATAGGGCGCGTGCACTTGCCATAAAGACAGAGAGAAACAGAGAGACAGAAAGCAAAAAATCACCCCAAGGGGAATGGCCACGCCATAATCCCTTCTCCTCCTTTCTCCTCTCGGGATCCTGGGCACGCACACACACACACACACGCGCGCCCAGCATGAGTTTAAGCCACCAAGTCCGAGACTCAAACTGCGGTCGACTACATGGGAGTCCAGTGACATAGCCATTACACTAACTGCTGGTCCCATCATGATGCACTTTTACATAGAAAAACAGAGAAATACATCCTGACATTTCCAACGACCAAAGAAAAACGTTAAGTAATTTTTCACAACAGGCCAACAGAATATAAAAGAACTACAAAAAAAAAAAAAAAAAATGGTACAAACAATTGTGTTCAAATTCCCAGAAGTACCATAAATGACCTCTGTCTGGTCAATATAGATCTCCTCTACTAACTCAATCATTACATGTAGGATAATGGGGCTACAACAGACTTCTAATGTTTGGACTTGTATTTTTTTATCCCCTTTTAACACTACAATTGACTCCTCAATGGTTTCAATAAAGCATACTATACTTCTTCATATTCTGTAACTAGTATAAAATAAGAAATCACAAGACATGTATAGCAATATGTAAACTTTTTTTTTTTGAGAGATTTTCACTGTAGGGCGCGTGCGCTCGCCAGACAGAGAGAGACATAGAGACAGAAAGCGAGAAATCACCCCCCAGGGGGGATGGTCACGCCGCAATCCCCTCTCCTCCATTCTCCTCTCGGGATCTTGGGCATGCACGCACACGCGCCCGGCGTGAGTTTTTTAAGCCACCGGGTCCGGGACACAAACCACGGTCGACTACGTGGGAGTCCAGCAACATAGCCATTACGCTAACTGCTGGTTCCCAATATGTAAACATTTTTATATGAAACTTCCTCTCCAAACATCGGGGTTTTAATTACAACAGGCCTGGAGGCAGAAATCAAGGTTTAAAAAATGTTAAATATCAGGACCAGCAGCTGGTGTGATGCCTATGTTGCTGGACTCCCATGTAGTTGACTGCGGTTCGAGTCCAGACTAGGTGGCTTAAAGTCACGCCGGGCACGTGTGCATGTGTGCCCAAGATCCCAAGAAGAGAATGGAGGAGAAAGGACTGTAGCATGGCCATCCTCCCTGGGGAGTGATTTCTTGCTTTCTGTCTCTCTGCCTCTTTCTGTCTTTCTGGTGAGCGTATGCACCCTATAGCAAGCCCTCCCCCCCAAAAAAATAAAGTTAAAGATCTTTTAGGTGATAACAGGCAGAGACCATGATTACTGACAAGCCTATTAAAATGCTACCTGGGGACCAGCAGTTAGCATAATGGCTATGTCACTGGACTCCCATGTAGTCGACCGCGGTTCGAGTCCCGGACCCAGTAGCTTAAACTCACACCAGGCGCGTGTGCGTGCGTGCCCAAGATCCCGAGAGGAGAATGGAGGAGAAGGGACTGCAGCGTGGCCATCTCCCCTGGGGGGTGATTTCTCGCTTTCTGTCTCTCTCTCTCTGACGAGCGCACGCACCCTATAGCAAAAACCTCTAAAAAGAAAAAAGAAAAAAAAAAACTACCTGTATTTTTTTAACACTAAAAAAAGAACAGTAAAGCTAACACAGTACATAAAGACTACTAAAGCTATTCCTGAATTTCAAAGTAAGTGAGTATGAGAAAATTAACTTTTTACTATCATTTCTTCATAATAAATGTTTTAAGATCTAATCTCTCAACTCCAGTTTCAATTAATTGAAAACTGTTTTTGCTTTCTTAAAGACAGATCACAAACTCATTATAACATATTTTTGTTTATACATGTTTTTCAAAATTTTTCTGATTTTAATACTGAGGTCTGGTGATTCCTCAGCTTCAAAGTCCCCAGAATTTCCAAAGACACAGTAACTGAGTAACTGAGTAACTGAGTTGCTTAAAAGATTTAGATATTCTTTATTTAGCAAATCCTCACATCACCCAAAGCACAGAATAAGCCATGGCTCCAATTAGGATAACTGCAAGCCGTTATCCTAACTGGTTTCATCTTCCTCTTTTCATGCATACATTAGTTCCTCTCCTATTATAGCTAAGTCTAGCTTAATTTTAAATTTCTTCATTAAAAATCTTCACTGTACCACCCAATTCCAGTTTTCCAGATATGCTGAGATGATATGACTAGATTCCCAATACTGACATCAAAATACACCTGGGGGGGAACCAGCACATAGCGGAATGGCTATGTCACTGGACTCCCATGTAGTCGACCACAGTTCGCGTCCCGGACCCGGTGGCTGAAAACTCACACCGGGCGCATGTGCGTGTGTGCCCAAGATCCCGAGAGGAGAATGGAGGAGAAGGGATTGTGGCGTGGCCATCCCCCCTGGGGGGGGATTTCTCGCTTTCTGTCTGTCTGTCTCTGTCTGTCTGGCGAGTACACACACACACCCTATAGCAAAAACCTCTCCAAAAAAATAAATAAGAAAAACAAAAGTCTTTATTAAAAAAAACAAAAATACACCTGGGGGAGGGGGCAGCTGGTGGCATAGGTGTTGTGACACCTGGATCCCACACGTCCAATGGCCCTGTTTAAGTCGTGGTCTCAGTGGCATGAGAAATATGCCAGCCAAAATCAAAAAAGGAGAAGTAGAGAAAGGATAGCAATGTAGCCATCCCCTGTGTGTGTTTGGGGAATATGTTCTCACTTTCACCTCTTGCTGTCTCCCTCCAGTGAACACATGCCCCCTCTAGCAAATTATAAGTGAATGAAAGCTTAAAAAGAAAAAAAAAGAAAAAAAAAAAGAAAAAACACACACTCACTAAGACTTTATAAAAATTTATTCATAGAGTAGAACTTATGCAAGTGCTTTATGTAATAGCAAACCCAAGGTAAAAAAAAAAAAAAGAATCAATGGCCCTGTATGCAGGTAATTTTATATATAATTTCAGGTAGTTGCTGGAGCTTGTAAAACTCATTCAAATACTTAAGAATGTCCTTTATCTTTTTTTAAGTTTTTGCTACATGTGAACATACTGGGGGAAGGATGAGAGAGAGAGAAAGGAAATCACACACACATCACACATACACACACAAGGATGGCAAGCCCCACATAAGATTCCTGATTCAAGTCTGGAGACCTCCTTCAGTACACCAGCACATGCCTGACTGACCATGATCCAGGGCTGGTTGAAGGCTAAGTAGAGCATGGTGTCAAGATCCCGTTCGGGTACCAGCAGCTGGCGTAATGGCTGCGTTGCTGGACTCCCATGTATTCGACCGTGGTGCGAGTCCTGGACCCGGTGGCTTAAACTCCCATCGGGCACGTGTGTATGCATGCCCAAGACCACAAGAGGAGAATGGAGGAGAAGGGATTACAACGTGGCCATCCTCCCTAGAGGGTGATTTTTTACTTTCTGTCTCTCTGTCTCTGTCTTTTTGGTGAGTGCATGTGCCTTACAGCAGAAACCTCTATAAAAAAAAAAAAATCCTGCTGGGGGTGCTGTGTCTTTCTCTTTCTTGATAATGAAAGAAACAAATAAATTTACTTTTATTCAAAAATAATAAAAACCAAAAGTTCCTATGGACTAATTAAAGACTGTATATCCATTAGAAAAATTGGCAAAGATGAACAGATAATTCCTAGATAAAAAAAATACAAAAGGC